AAATCTTCTTTTGGAAAGTAAGCTTGTATGAGCGATTCAAACAGCAACTTTTAAACAGAGCGTGCAAAAGGAAAAATGGGCTCGTGCACACGTATAATAGTTGTTCCCTCTCTGCAGCAGCTACAGGGAGTAGAGAAAATTAGCAAAAATCTTAAATATACCTTTAGTGCATGGGTGACTGAATATTATGAAAATAGAAGCAAAATAAAGTGCTTTACAAACAGACACCATTTTACTATATAAAACCCAATCTTGGTGCCAAATTAGTCAAATGTGCTTTCAAAATGTTCTTATTATTATTTAATAAAAAATATCATTATTCATTTCTCATTCTTTAAATGTTAATCATTAATTTACCATTTAAGGCAACATCTCATATTCATCTTTATGAAATAAACCAGAGGAGTTTTCTTCAGCTTACAAAATATTAACAAGCTTTTTGTTCAAATTAAATATTACTTAGCTAATTGGTGCTGTTAGGTGTCAATTATTTCTTAATCAGATTTAGCTCCGCCCCTGAAAGCACAGACTGCCAACCTTTGCTCACCTGTAGTGTTAACTTCTGTTTTGCCCTTCTATTATTAGGTTGTTTCTTTTTCTTCTTCTGATTCCACTGATGCATCTTATTCATGTTTCCGTTATCTTTAGTTTGATTATACGGCCCATAGCCGCCCTGCTTGCTGTTTTGACTCCAGTTAAAGTGGCTTTTATACATCTGGCCCGGAGAAGAGCGTTCACTCTTAGCAGCTTGCTTTTGGCAGGGTTTGCTCCAGCAGGTGGAGCCATCTTCTGTCTGGAACTGTTGACATTTCTTTTATGAGAAAAGGATAAAGCAGTCAATAGATAAAAAAACCTTGACATGTCATGACATTTTTTTTTTTTTTGCAAGGGCTTGCATAACAATAATAACAGCAAAACATGTTAGAAAAAATGCAAACAGATGTATTCAAAAGAATGCTGATCAGTAGATTTTAGGGTTGACATTTTATGATGATTAAATAATCATAAGTAGACTCTTTATCGCTTGTCTTCATTAATTACATCTGAAGTGAATTTGATGGATCTTGTCTATTAACTTTAAATGTAGGGAAGTATCTCACCTTCTTATAAGAGCCGTGTTGCTCTCCCTGCATTTTCCTCTTTCCTCTTGAACCATCCTCTGATCTGTTGCTAGGAGACAGAGAGCATGCCATGCAGAACAGATTCTGCTTTACTAATAAAACTACATGAACAGGGCTGTCAACTCTCCCCCATTGGGAGTGAGACTCACCCATCTCACACTCTCACTCCATATTCCAAATTTCTCACACTAAAATTTTATGAAAAATACCATGGTGATCAAAATATAGTCTGCATTTTTAATACAACCTTAGTGCTCACACACGGGGGGGGGATGCCATGGTAGATATTGAAAAAAAGACAGTTGTTACGAGGTATATCATTTTAAGTTTGATCTTATCTCATCTGGACAGGATAATTCTCTTTGTAAATTATTGAAGATTTTAAGCTTCAATTTTTAATATAGTACGTGTGTAAATATGAATAAAAAAAATACAGCAGCTTGCTTAAAGTATTGATGTGGAGACTGAGTGTAGGATCACATCAAAAATAATTGTTTTCTCTTTACCTGGTGCTTTTTTTTTTAGTCCCAGTTTTAGTCCATGTTTTGCTCACAAGTTCAATAATTATTCAGTCTAGTTTAATTATCTCCAGTTGGAATTTGGGAGTAATTAAACCAACACTAATATTTTAATTCTTAAAGATTTCAGGTTTGCCTCTCAAACCCATAGGAGCTCCAAAAAAAGAAAAAGAATCATTGCATTTTATTTTTCAAAAGATCAGCCACCAAAGAAAAGACCAACCGCATCCAGAGAGGATGTGCAAAACAACTCAGTTATCCTGGATTCATAGAGGGAGAAACCACAGGGATGTTCTCATTTTATTCTTATCTTATTAATTTATCCTTATTTTGGTCCACTGAATATGTTTAAAAACTTAATTTCCATCACATTTTCCAAATGAAACATCCAGAGAAGTGCTGTCTCCTGTCATGGTGAGTTTTTTAAAAAATCTACAGCCTCCTAGAAGGTCTGAATTGTTTAGCTGTTTTGTCAATTATTAAGAATGAAGCTTTTTAATCCTTAACCCATTACCAAATATTCATGCACAGTGTAGTTGGCATTGGTTTCGATTGCACTTTACTTACACTGCAGAGAATAATTAATGAGTTAAGTTGTGATATATAAGATATATATAAGTATATTTAAGATGCAAGTATTTTAGTAGGGCCCTTTCTGCTCTACTTCAATTCTCTAAAAATCACCAGAATGTAGAAAAGAATGTATATTGTGAGAAAAATGTTCCACATAACTACAGATCACTTATTGTTATTCAGTAACATTTACTGTTTTATAAAAATTCCACATTTCGCCGCTTTGTTTCAGTTAAATCCTCTGAAAACCTCCAACCTATAGCTGCACCTGTCCTCATCTCACCCTGACTGGGTTTCCTGTCCAAACTATTTCAAAATCTCACCCCAGGGTTTGGTGAAAAGTTGGCAGCCCTGTATGATCATGTGCAGTTTTACCTTGGTGTAATATGAGAACCACCAGGATTCCTCACATCTTCAGCCATAGGAGACAATCCAGAGAACAAAGTGGCAAAAGCCATTTTTCTATCTGCTCACAAGTTCCTCAGCAGACGGAGCGCAATACGGGTAAAGTCATTTACAAGACTTCCATGAAAGTAGAAGCATTTACCAACTGTCCTGAACAGATGCTTCGCTACAGCGGTCATGTAAATAGAAATCCAGTGGCAGAAGTCGCGTGGCTTCCTCACGGCGACGATTCCTTCCTTTAAAGCGCTCTTCTGTCTAACGGCGCTTTATCGCCACCTATCGGCCCGGAGTATGATTAAGGCTAAACCAAATTCAGAAAATATCAAAAATGTAAACGTAAAAGTGGAATTATTAAATTGAAAATGTTATTATTTATTTTATTTTTTTTGCGGAACTGCTGCACACAACTTTACCTTTAGCTCAGTTAGATTGGTGTTTTTCTTTTTTTGAGACATTTTATGATGCCTACAGCGCTGCCAACTTTTCACCAAACCTTGGGGTTGAGATTTCTAATTGGACAGGAAACCCAGTCAGGGTGAGATGAGGACAGGTGCAGCTATAGGTTGGAGGTTTTCAGAGGATTTAACTGAAACAAAGTGGCAAAATGTGGATTTTTTTTTATAAAACAGTAAATATTACTGAATAACAATAAGTGATCTGACGTTATCTGGAACATTTTTCTCACAATATACATTATTTTCTATATTTTGGTGATTTTTAGAGAATTGAAGTAAAGCAGAATGGGCCCTACTAAAATACTTGCATCTTAAATATACTTTAAACTAAGAATTTCAAAACTTTGCTCCTTATTTATTCTATGCAGTTCAAGTAAAGTGCAATCGAATCCCATGCAAACTATACGGAGCATGAATATTTGGTAATAGGATTTCCTGGGAAAAGGCTTGGAGATGTACTACTGTCTCAAGATATAAACTGGTTTCCTCTTAATAACAGTTTAAAATGCAACAATTAGCTTAAAAAAAGTCCCACTCTCATGAACAAGTTGTTTATACTCATCCTAAGAGCTGGGAACTGTGTAAATTGTAAACTATTGTAGTTAAGCTTATTCCACTCAAAGCTAAGTACCTGAAAGTGGTGGAGACTTGTTTACATCCGTCTGACCTCCTTGGCTGATTTTTGGCAATAATTGTGGCCAGACAACAACATGAGCTGTTACAATTAATGGGATCTTTTCAATGTTGCTGGAAACAGAATTATCATAAGGTGGGATATTTTAACAAGCTGGTTGCTTGATGAGTTTAACATTAGTGCCCTGCTCAGGTCAAGGATCCTATCCTGCTATGCCAAATTGCAAAATATATATTTTATAATATATAAAATAACATTCTGTCATCATAGCAATAGTAGACTAAAAGGTTAATTTAAGTATACTTCCAATAGTATTTTCATATGATAAAAATACATTCTGATTTTTCGTACGAGTAAACTTAACCTATACTTGGAATTTAATTCGAATCTTGTCCAAATAAGCATGATTTTACCAATGAACTTGGTAAACTTAAGATATATTATTTTTTGTATATTTAAATTCATGAACTTGAAGTATGAAGTACGAGGAGAGAAAGGTTATCTCAGAGGGGTCCACAGATATGAGAATGATTACTTTTCCTAAATTATTTACTATTTATTTTTTAAAATTTTAAGGACATTTAAGGAATGAAGGGGATAAGACTAGCATTTTTGATTTGCCATTTATAAACAATGTGTGATTTATAAACAAAGTGCATTAAAGGTATAGTGGAGGATCATCTAAATAAGTGGTCCTCCTAATTGTCAATCATTCTAGTGATACGTTTATGTAAGGCCATCCTATGTGCTTGTCCCCATTTTCACTTATCGGTGGTGAGTCTGACATAGTGGAAAAATTGCAAATCTTCTTTTAGAAAGTAAGCTTGTATTAGCGATGCAAACAGCAACTTTTAAACAGGGCGTGCATGAAGAGAAATGGGCTTGTGCACGCTGTTGCATGCATTTAATAGGGGTTTCCCTTCGGGAGCGGGTACAGGGTTGTGCATGTGCATTTTTTTTTTAAGTGGAGAGGGTGGGTCTTGTTTGTGTAAATCCTCCATTATACCTTCAAGTAAAAGCAAAAGAGAAAAAGTACAAAGCTAAAATAGGAAATTATAGATTAAACTGAACAGAAGTCCTGCATGAGAAGTTTAATACCTTTTGAAAGCTCTAGTATAACAGTACTAAAGGTGGAAAAAGCATTAGAATTGAAATAAAACATTATCAACATAAAATCTAAAATCTAATCAAGGGAGAATGGAATAGGAATGTTCATTTGAAAATCTGATTCATCATCTTTAAAGCTACCCAGCCCCATTTTATCTATGCCGTGCCTTTTTAGAGACTGGAAATGTTCTTTGCTTTTGGTTTTCCCTGTTTTGTTGCTGAGATCAGCCTTGTTTCTTTCTTCTTTTTTTATTATAAGGTCTCTTTTCACAGAACCTTTATTAGATCCCATATGGTCCAGCTTGACAACATGTTGGTCATATTAAAATATCACCTTATTGGAAAGTTTCGTTGGGGTTTGGGGATTTTGTAGGGTCTAAAAAAGGTAGGATGAAACATTCATCAGCTATAGCAGAATTCTGATCTACAGATTAAAAAGAAAAAACTTTAATTGAGAGAAAATCTCTAATTTCATTAGATAAATTAATAAATGCAATTCTATTTTTCTCTATTTTAAAAAATCTAAGTAAGTGTTTTATAAGTAAAAGTCAAAATATGCATTAAAAAACTTAACCTGATTTATTCTTTTTTTTGTCAGGTTGGAAAAGTTTTTAATTTTATTTTTTTAGTTTTCTACCCTAAAACATTGACAGAATGTTAGAAACTAATGTCATTAAATTGTCCCTCTTTGTAGGACTCCACTATGATGCAACTGCAACATCAAATCTGAAATGATCAGAACTGTAATTAATGTAATTAAAAAGCTCAACAGACACATTCATCATCAGCAGGACTGATAAAAGCCTGAACATGTTGAAAAGGTGAGATAGGAGCTGGACTTCGTGCTTCCACATGCAAGGCCGGCCCACGTTTGGCTCAAAGTTCAGGTCATGCAGTCAGTTTCAGTGTCTCCCTTCATAGGACCTGAATCCTGTTCATACTGAGCCGACGGAGCCACAGGATGACACGCTGGGTCCTTCTCGCTCCCCTCCTGGTGGGCCTGCTGATCCTCAGAGCAGCAGCTCAGGATGCTGAAAACCCTGAATCCACACCACCTCCATCAGGTCAAACCTCTGATGGTGGCGCCCAGGCAGGGGATCAGAGCGAGGACTGGGGGATTAACTCACTCCGAGGAAGCTTTGAGGCGGTCAGCGGCTACTTTGACTCGATGCTGGAGTTCATGGGTGGAAAAGATGGAGTGTGCCAGTATCGCTGCAGACATGGTAAACCTGACCTGGATCAAAGGAAATCACTTTCTTTAGATTGAAGGGCAAAATTATACATTATTGTATCTATCTGTATCAATTAGGATCAGGCACTACTTTTAAACATGTTAAGACTTATAATTCATATGACTATATAGGTATACATTCTGCAAGAAATATATATAATAAAAATGTATGCTCATTTAATTTGTCTCAAAGACAATCTTTGCCTGAATTGGAACCATGAAAAACCTCAATGTGTCTCAAGATAATTAACTATCACTTTCTATTTTCTCTATATTTTTCTGCAGTAATTATGCTACAAAAACATACATTAATGTTGCATTTCTTCATCTAGATTTTAGGGTAAAAATAAAAAAAGAAAAGTAGTGACATTTAAAAGCTTCCAGTTCAGATTTTATTTTAATACGCTGCCTCCAAGAATCCTTAAGGAAGCTTTTTCCTCTGCTCCTGACTGGACTGAGATATTTTCCCATATTGGTTCTGTTATCTGGACGAGGGCCTGGAAATGGACTGTGGCCTCTGTGTGATAGGAGAAGGATAATTTGGTCACTGGGGGATGTGTCACACATTTAGATTTTGTCTTTCTATGTGCAAATGTCAGTCTATTTTGAACTTACAGATTTATCAATGGTCATGCAGTCATGACATGCTTCTGAAGTTTCCCCCCCCCCCCCCCCCCCCCCCCCCCCGATTTGATATTTCAGGTAAAGCACCTATCCCTCGTCCCGGCTACAAGATGCCTGAGCCTGATGGATGCAGTTCCTACTTCTTCGGCCTTCCTATTCCAGATGGGGTACGCTTGATTGATCAAAAGCTGGTTCCTGGGCTAAAAAAACAACAACCACATTTTAAAATAAGGTCTAGAATGCCTGTTTAACAAATAACTGTAACCAAATTTTGAATTTGTAGGAGCCACCCATTGAAATTAAATGTAAATAAAGCTATCTTGAATTTGGTTTGACCTGAAAAGCTTCTCGGACTTCAAATTAGTATAATATTACCTTTTAGGGTGTAAATATGATCCAACATCCAATATGATCCACTGTTCTATTTTTAAACACTGGTCATCAGGCTGATAAAGGAGGCCTTAGACAGGACACAGGCCTAAAAAAGTTAATTAAATTTATCTCTGTGTTCTACAGTGACGTGCACAAGGGGTGGGCAGAGGGCGCAGTCGCCCAATTGTGACCAAATTGTTGAAATCAAAGGTGCCCTCCAAATGCATAGTGAAATGCCCTCTGCAGTGGTGAGGACATGCTACACAACCCCCTTTTTTTTTTCTTTCTGCCCCTGAAAAAGTCTGTGCACGCCACTGGTGTTCTAACCATTTGCAGTTTTTATTTATCATTAAATTATCAAAGATCCCAGCAAGGGTAACTCTAAATGAGGGCTAAGCTTTGTCTATATTCAGTAAAAAAAAAAAAAAACAACAAAATTAGAATAACTATAAATGAATAATTAAAAGCTGAAGCTAAGAGATCGTCTTGGCAACAGCATATTTCCATGTCCTAGGGCTTGACAGGAGGCACTTCTCCTTTTTCAAAAACTTTTAGTATGACGTGTATGGAGACACCGATGATTTTATTTTGAAGAGACATGGAATCCTTTTCCTGTGTTTCTGTGTCAGATGGATATGGGAATCCCTGCGATGACCAAATGCTGCAATCAGCTGGACATGTGTTACGACACCTGTGGCTCCAACAAGTACCGCTGCGACTCCAAGTTTCGTTGGTGCCTCCACAGCATCTGCTCTGACCTCAAGAAGAGCCTTGGCTTTGTGTCCAAAGTTGAAGGTCAGTCATTTGTATGAGTATCATCAGTATTGGTATGAGTATCATCAGTATCATAAGTTCTATAGCAAAAAAGGTGTTAAATGAAGAAACTAACTGGAAGAAAGGAAATAATCCAACCTCTGAGCAAACAAAGAAAACTTAATTCAGGGGTGAAATGTTTACACAATGTCAAGAAGGAAATATAACAGTAATGACCTTTACGAGACAGCTGCTTCTCTATGGTCAATTGATACACTGCTCAAAAAATAAAGGGAACATGTAAACAAATATAACTTCAATTGAATCAAACTTCTTCCTCTGGATGACAGTCAATTTCAAATGCCGACAGTGTTTTCTAGATATGTTTGTGGCTTGTCAAAATATTTACACTAGTACTTAAACTAGGTTAAAGATAGTTACACAAGGGAAATTCTAGTGTAACCTGGTTTTCAACTATGGTGGTCTTCCATTTAACCATTGATCTTTATGTATTCACTAGATTGTTAATAGCCCAAAATAAGTGAAGTCACCTGCCACCATCTTGGTACTCCCTACTCTCACGGACACGTCATGTGTCATTAATGTATATGTAATTACCGTAACAATGTAATCAATGCATGTATATTACATGTACATAATTTAGCACTTTTGGAACATCTGTATTATGCTCCATTAACACATCCATGTTGTGATGAATTTGTATGTTACATTACATGATTTTTAGACTTCATACTGATTATGCAATGTGATGTGCAGATTTTTTTTTTACCATTATTTACAGTAATCTACTTATGCTATGAAACAGCAAGTGTTTGTAAAAGTGATCATCTTTATTTTAAATGTCTTAAACACTGTTGAAAATGATAAAAGCAGCATTGTTCGATGCTTTAATGCATGTATTCTTTACATCGAGACCAGTCTAACTAGGGAGTACCAACATGGCAGCCGGTGACTTCACTCCACCCTGTACTACCATCATGCTATCAGCAATCCAGTGAATAGAGATCAGTGCATTAAAGTTTTATCTCATTTAAAGTTCTTTTTGTAAGCAGTTATTTTTTTCCTTAAACAAAGGGGTACCAAGCATTGCGTGTGTGTACTATTAATGTAATCAATCTTAAATGGTATCTAGGATCTATTTTCTAATCATCTGTCACCATCTAAATAAAGTATTAAAGACTAATATTTTATATCTCTTATTTTTCTAAATGACTGCAGCATGTCATCCCATCCCAGCTACCTGAGCTTTCTGTACAAACCACCCCTCATTTATTTCTTCTGTCATCCTCAGCATGTGAAACTGTAGCCGACACTTTGTTCAACACAGTGTGGACTCTGGGCTGCAGACCCTACATGAACAGCCAGAGGGCGGCCTGCTACTGTCCAGGAGAAGAAAAAGATGAACTGTAAAAAAAACAAACATGCTGCCTTTCCACAGGATGTGACTCCTTGAGTAATTTATTTGAGCCTTCTTATTTCTTGTTTTCGCAATTATTAAAAAACGTCAGTATTGTTTTAACTTCTATGTGAGACGATCTTGTTTCAACATCAACTTATGTGGATGTATTCTACCAAACATCGAGTGATTTGTTTTCATGGTTAAGCCTACCTCATAAAGGCGTTAAATATATTAAGAATAAAAATATGAACGTTTTAGAAAACAGTGGGTACTGTAAATTCCTTCTTTGTGAACCAAACTTCGGTTCACAAAGCCTCATACTATAAAAATTTTTTTTATGAAAGACCAACACAAAGTAGTAAAGAATGAAGTGGAAAAAAAGAAGAAATAAAACTAATTTACAAAGGAAAAACTGAAAAGCGTAGCATGCACATGTTTCAAACTCTTTCCATCACTAGAATTTGGATTGCACTAATTTAGGAGATGATATAATTTGCAAGTTGTTTTACAAACTCTTTCCTTTCTGCTGTGTTCTATGGTCTTCATGAAACTTTTTCCTGACATTTCTTTAAGTGTAAAAGTTAAACTTGCATATAAAAACCATCCACAACAATTTAAGCAGGTTTTAAATCATTATAGTGAGAGAACAGACAAGAAAGTAAAACATGACAAAATAAAATCAGGCTTAGAGACAATAAAAGGGAGCAGATAAATGTTAAATCATGAAAAAAAAAACAGTGAGATCAAAGACTAAAGTAAAAACCTTAACTTAGACTAAGAATGGGTAGAGATACAACTCCTGAGAAGTTATTTACTTGTGACAGAAAGGATGATTCGGTTATATGTGTAGGTAAACAATAAAACTAAACTGCAGATCAAGATGGAGGCGCATCAGGATTCATCATGGGTCTCAGTTTCTCATCTCTGAAAGAAAAGAAAACACACAAACATTAAATTATGCTGCATATAAATGTATTTTCCTCAATATCAGATGATAATAGCAAAAGGTTTTTGCATTTTTAAATAAAAAATGCTCGGACAATGCCTTTTCAGAATTTATTAGTAAAGTATTAAAACTCTTTATATCTGACAAACCCCACACTGTCTCAGGAAAATAGAAAAACATCATGGATCATGAAGAAACATGTTGAACATGACCCAAAACTTAGAGGAAGTTATAACTTACCGTATTTTCACGACTATAAGGCGCACTTAAACGTCTTTTTTTTCCCTCAAAATGTGCGGTGCGCCCTATGGTGCGGTGCGCCTTATGTGTGTTGTAACTGCGACTTTTGAGACCACCTCATTGAGGAGATGATGAAAGAGTGGCTGAATGTAAGGAGGCCAGGTGTTTTTTTTCCACCCCTCACCATCGCTGTTAATATGTAACTCCATGCGTGCCCATCTCACAGCTGATGTGAAAAACATGGGGAAACAAATGAACGCTGCTCGACATCGGTGTGAACCGGACCCAGCAGGTGCAGCAGAAGCAGCGAGTTTACATGCAAAGTCAATGGTTGACGCGCATATAGGCAGCAGCAAAAGGTCCCGCAGCGCATTTTGGTGCAGCACGTCGGGAGCGTTTAAGCATCTGAAGCACCGCCAACGCGCTGCTGCTGCTCAGATGGAAAAATTGAAGTTTTGCTGCTGGACGCGCCGCATCAACCAATCAGAGAAGCTGATCTGGGAGCTGCCAGCGAGACAGACAGCGCTCTGATGACATATGATATTAACGCAAATGGAAAAGGCTGGGTGGGTGCGTGGCTGAGGCAGGTGTATGTGAGAAGACTAGGTGGTTTTTTCCACGCATCACCATCGCTGCGTGCCCATCTCACAGCCGATGTGAAAAAAAGGTGAATCAATGAACGCTGTGCTCGCCGTTATCCCGGGGGTCTGACAAAGGAACTTCCATCGCTCGACATCGGTGTGAAGCAGCCGTTCGAAGTAAGGCTGCGAGCGGCGTGGGAGCGATGGATGACCGACGGAGACCACAGTTTCACGATAAGTGGAAGGCAGCGCCGGGCAAGTTACGCCACCGTTTGCGGATGGATTGTAGATGCTTGGACTAACGTGTCTGCTGGCTCTGTTGTTCAAGCTTTCGCAAAAGCCGGCATTATTTCTGAGGAGCTGCGCTGCACGGAAAGTGACTGACAGCGAAGAAGGGGAAACTGGCATGTCGGATTTAGCGCAGCTGTTTTATTCAGAAACAGAGGATGATGACTTTGATGGGTTTGATTAATACTTTGTAATAAATACATGAATAAAGCACAATCATACTCAGTTTTGCTCCCGCTGTATTTTTCTCCCTGAAAACTTAATTCAACAGCAGCCCCGGCACGTCTCCTCCTCTTCATCGCGGTGGCTGGCAGGTGTTTTTTCATCTAAATAATCTAAATCTTGCAGCTATATTTGCTGTGATCAGTGGGAATGAAGTAGTTTTAATATGTTTTTAAGTGAGAAAGTCCACCTGAAAACTTAATAATTGCAGTCAGTTCATCC